TTCACCAAAATTAGAGAATTGAAGATATCATTACAAAATGAACAAATCTGAGAGAGGTCCACATGTAATACCTATATATGTAATATCAAAGCAATTGGACTTGTGGTTTTTAACAAGAAGTTGAAAATATCACTTTTTACCAAAAATGACAAAAACATTCACCAAAATTAGAGAATTAAAGATATCATTACAAAATGAACAAATCTGAGACCAAAAATGACAAAAATATTCACCAAAATTAGAGAATTGAAGATATCATCATGAAATGAACAAATCTGAGAGAGGTCTACCCAAGGTACATATACACCAAGTATCAAAGCATTCAGACTTGTAGTTTTCAAGAAGAAGTCGAAAAAGTAAAACATTGACACGGACGACGACGGACAATCACTCATATGATAAGCTCCGCTCAACAAAGTCGACAGCGGAGCTAAAAAAAAGTTAGTAGAACACTTTTCCGGTTGATTCTTGACCTATTGGGTCGAAGTACACAGGGGCAGGTTAACTTTTTCTCAGGAAAACATGGCGAGTCTCAGCTTTGTGCAGAATCGACCAGTTATTCTAAAAGAACTGAAGTGGCTGACACAACCAAACAAGATAATTGATGAATAGAAGACAATTTTAAGTAAAATTTACACCAATGTCTTTAAAACCTCAACTGAGATCTCATACTGGATAATCATACTGGGTATATCCAAGTTTGAAAAAGATTAGGTAAAAACGGATTTATTGTAACCACAAGAAAAAAGTTCACCACCAGAGTCAACAATGACAATATCTATGATAAGCGAGGACAACTAAGCAGATAGAGATATTGTTCATATTTAGGTTGATTAAAAGTTGAAGCAGTAGGAATGTATATTTGCTCTATTCATTTTAATCTTCACAAGCATGCTCAAGAAAAAGAAAAAAAATGGGCTCTATTTATTACCATTTTCACAGCAGTGCATGGAGTTTCCTGTTTGACATCCATCGATTTTTGGTTCTCTGATTTTTCAAGTAAATTATTAACTTCAGATTTTAACTTCTCTAACTGTTGGAGGATTCTGTCTTGTCTTCTTTCCAAAGCAGATAAAGGGTTATCATCCTGTATAAAAAACAAGAAGTATGCTTTTCTTATGCTAAAATATCTGCATAGTAACCAGGGTGAGAACTCACATATTTCACATTCTTCCTCATGATTCTATTTTGGTCTGTCATTAATACTACATGTATTGATATTAAATATATGCATAAACATAGTTACACCTGTACATGATGAAACCACATGTAATTTGTTTTTTTCTGTATTTTTTCTGTCTACTTTAGTGATTCATTTTATTAAGATCCTAAATAGGATATGATTACAATCAGGATCATTATCAATATTATTAAAAATTAATATTATTATCATGAAATTACCTAAGTTTTAGATACTAGATAGATAGAGATTTATATACCATTTCAACACATACGATTAGGTCCACGTGTTAGTATTGTTATTATTCTGACAGCAGGTTTGTTGATTTCATTTGACATTTGTAAACCTGAACATAAATAGTCGGCCATAAATAATACAAGAACTTGACCATTTATGGTATTTCCTTTAAAAAAAATGCAAAAAAATTTACGAATTGACAGTGTCGGGAGTGTTTGACTGAATAAAAAAAAAACCTAATCAAATGTCGGCGGTGTAAAGAGCCATTGGCCGGTGTATGATGTGCGGAAGTCAGGTGAATAGTATTACATACATCGTCACTAACAGGCGCCTCCATCTGTGTCTGACGAGATTTGTTTACGTTGTCCATCTTATACATACAGTTAGGCAGTTGTAAATCTATTTTGTCATCATAAATTGGCTTCAGCGCATACATTGTAGCCATATTCGTCATTTGAAGCCACTCCACGCTGCAGAAGACCACATGCCGCAATCCACCATCAGCTGAAAGGAATGGCCCACACATGATCTCGCGTTATCTGATGTGTTTGGCGAGACCATATGCCGCGACCACAAGGAAATGTAACACACATAAGTATTGGTTGTTGATCGGCGTGTTTCCTGGAATATATACGAATTGTGTGAGTTGACTTGCATATGCATCGCCAAATATCCCAACTTTTTCTCTATATCTGACGTCAAACGGTGTGTCTAAGGAAAGTAATTGTTCAGCCGAGGCGGTAATTCTTTCTTCATCTTTATTCTGCTTGTTGTATGAGTGATGCTCAAATAACCAATCACAAGCCGTGTTATAAAACAAATTTTCTTGAATTCCTCTAGTGAGATTTTGTCGAGATTTGTGGTCTAAATTAAAATCGGGGAGACAACTAAATAAGTCAATATTAGTGTGTTAGCATGACCCGGAAATGAGTTGAAATTCGTGTGTGATTTGGTGGAGAGAATCGTACAATATGTCATCAGTAATGTCACGTGATCTTATAAGCGCTTGAAAATGGCGGACATCAAAATTCAACATGGAGTCTAAAAATAGAAGTGCCGAAATCCCGCTGTCCCAGTGAAGGAGTGAGGTCAGATTTACAATATTATTCAGGTGAACTGTTTTTCTTCCCGTTGGTATAGAATTTGTGTATCTCGTCATGAAACGGGGACGTGGAAGGCCACCGAAAAATCCTATTGTGTCAGCTGGATACGTTTCTGTTGCAAAACGAAAAAAAACACTTCGAGATGCGGGAAGTGCATCGAGTTCGCGCTCCAGCACGCCGCTAAGTTGCTTGTCAACACCCTCAAGAGGCAGAACACCGCGAGCTGCAAGAACAAATACTCGCGAAGCCGCAAAGAAAAGCAAGAAATTAATTGCTCAAGTTATCGGATTCGAAGATAAATCAGTTGTTTCTGAGCATTGCCCGACATCGGAGTTGGAAGACCATGACAGTGATTCAGATTTCATTGAATCGGACTCCGAGAGTGTGTATTCAGAAAGCAGCTTTCAAAGTTACAGCACGGTGAGTAGTACGCCGAGCAGAAGAAAGAATCGCCTGCCAAGACCGCCGACACCACCGGGATTACTGGAAGTAGAAATCCCTCCCTTACAATTGCCATCATCGTCTGATGACTTGCTACTGGATAATAATTTGGTGTTGACAGCGGTAAGCATTTATGAAACACTCAGACACTTCAAACATCAACTCAGATTGTCTCCATTTAGATTTGAAGATTTTTGTGCAGCTTTACAAAGCCAAGAACAGTGTGCATTATTGGCTGAAACTCATATTTGTTTGTTGAAAGCCTTGCTCAGAGAGGATGAAGGGAATAGCACCACTTTTGGTCCACATGACACCAAAGACAGCATAAATATACAATTGTTTTTTGTGGATGGGATGACTTGGCCTGAACTTGTGCGAGCTTACATTGAAAGCGACTCAGAATCCCAAAGCTTTCTTCATGCATGTGAAAGTGAAAATTATCCATACAAAACAGTGGCTGATAAACTGAAAACTTTACAGTTTCTTACTGATCAATTTCTGAGTTCCAATGTTGTCAGAGAGGACATCCTCAATGAGGGTGCCATTACCTATGATGATCATTGCCGCAACTGCCATAAAATGGGAGATCTTCTCTGCTGTGAGACCTGCTCCGCTGTTTATCACTTAGAATGTGTAAATCCACCGTTAGAAGAAGTTCCAGAAGAAGATTGGGTGTGTGAGATATGTGCTGCTAATCAGGTGTCTGGGGTAACGGATTGCATCTCTGAAGTTGAGAAAAGTGGTTTGCTTATACGACACGAGCCACTGGGATATGACAGACATGGTAGAAAATATTGGTTTCTTTGCAGACGATTAATAATGTAAGTATTATAACATGTCAGGTCTGATTTTTGTGTCAGAGTATGAATGTTTTTCTGTGTAATGAATGTCAGAACATAGTTTGGATTTTAGCTGGGTTAAGGAAAATAACTTTATCAATTTATTGAATGTATTATATGTTTAAAATTCAGTGAAAGTGAAAATAAACACTGAGAAAAAGAATGTGACACTGACACTAGTGAAATATAAGTCTTATAATCTGTATTGCAAGGTATTTCAAGGACTGTGATAATGATGCTTGATCAGGCTGGATGAAAAAAAACACATTGACAAAGTGTCATTTCACAAGTAAAAACATCTCGGTAGGGCTGCTTGGAATAATTAAAATATATGGAGATGATCAGCATAACAATAGTACACACAATTTGAACTTATAAATTGTCATTCATATGAAATGCAATGGGAGAAATCACTGTCAGTGTTGTTAAACAATTCCTAGATTCGGATTTAATCGCTTGACTCCTTAGAAACTTTTTTCTGCTTTCACCCTCACCCCTCTGTCAGGATTTCAAGATTAACATGTGAAAGCATGGGACAAACTCCAGTATAAACAGTGTCCTTTCATTCTACTATCAGTGTTCACAGTATTTATTTTCTACATGATAAACTTGTATATAAATTAATCTGGTCATGATGTTTGCTCTAACACCTATGATTTATTTTTGAAGTGTGTTTGACCATGGAACTATAAACCACAGGAAGAACAAGGAAACTAAGCGGATTAAAAAAACATTTGTCTTAGTTTATCCATAGACCTTAGAAAGAGAGGGACAGGCAACTGGATTATAAAACAAAGGATTTCACGACATCCGGCGTGCAACGTGGGTTACTACAGTTATAAACAAATGACCAAGCTAAGGAAGCTGTATGCTGTCACTCACAATCAATCGGCCGCGCAGTTTGCAACACGTCTTTCAGTGCGTGTCGCATCCATTTTTTTGTACTGGTTATTAGGTGACACTGTATTCATCAGTATAAATTAACTACTCGGCTGATTTTATTGTGCGGTGACAAATGGTTGACTAATACTTATCCTGCGACTGCCATATTTTTGCCTGTTTTCAGGAAAATAAAAACACTTGTTGTTTGCATTATCGTATTTTCACTTAAATCATACTATTTTCAATGATACTCGCGTATTTTAGTTTTGCTAGTCTATATTTTAAAATCGTAATTCCAAAATTTCCGAACTGTCTGAAAGGCCGTCTAAACAGACAGGACTCGTCCAGATTGTTTTTAGATCGCTGTATTTTCTCCCCATTTCTCAAAAATAAAAAAATCTATTGTTCCAATTTTTTGCGGTTTTACTTGAGTCCTGCCATTTTCGAAGTAATTAGGGTATTTTAATTTGATGACTTGCTATACAAAAGTCGAAATTACGAATTTTCTAAACTGTTTGAAACCGTGAAAGTCAGCAGCTTACACCGGAAATGGCTGACCCGGTTTGTTTGTCAAAAATAAAACATCTGTTCAAATTATTGCATTTT